AGGGCTGCCAAACCTCCAGGTAGGGGCTGGAGATCCCCTGGGATGATAGCTGGTCTCCAGACTACATAGATAGGCTTGTTTATTATTTATTTACTTAAAACATTTATTCCGCTCCTCCTGGAGAAAACGGCTGCTTTGGAAGATGGACGGTCTGGCATTAGACCCTACTGAGGTCCCTTCCCTCCCGAATGCCCCCCCCCCGGATCCATCCTCCAATCTCCATATTTGTCCAAATCCAGAGTCAGCGACCCTAGTCTATCCAGCTCGGAACCAGGGGTCATTTCCTGCAGGAGCGGAGCTCCAGCAGCAAAGAGCTCAGGGGGCGGGCACATGCAACAAGCCCCACCCCCTGCTCCCAGCAGCCCTCAGTCAGAGCAAGAAGCAGCCAAGAAAGCTGCAGAGCCCCCCCCCCAGCCCCCCAGTCCAAAACAGTTCAGTGGCACCTTTAAGACCAAGTTTTATTCAGGTACAAGCTCTCTCTGCTCTGTGAGGACAGAACTGCACGTCCCCCCCCCCCCAATAGCTAGCAATCCAAAACAGTCCAGTGGAGCCTGAGCGGTGGATGTTGCCTTCTGACACACTTCCGGTGATGTCAGGGGGGTGGCATATGCAAATAAGTTATGCTAATGAGCTCCTGCACCTCTTTTTCTACGAAATGACCCCCGCTCGGAACTGTCTACTCTGCTTGGCACTGGCTCTCCAGGGTCTCAGGGAGAGGAAGGCCTTTTCTAACTGCTGTTCCTGTGATCCATTTAAATAAAAACAGTGGGAACGGAATGTGGGGGCAGTTAGGGATGCCAGCCTCCAGGTGGGACCTGGAGATCCCCTGGAATGACTGCTCCTCTCCAGACTGCAGAGATCAGTTCCCCTGGAGAAGATGGATGCTTTGGAGGGTGGGCTCTATGGCATTACACCCCATGGAGGTCCCTGTCCTCCCCAGGCTCCATCCCCAAATCTCCAGGAATTTCTCAACCTGAATCTGGCAACCCTACACACACCCCAATCCCTCGCTGGTGGCCGGGGGGCAGCTGGCAACCTGAAGAGATTAGGTGATCCTGGAATAAAAAATGTAATCTTGTCGATATTGCCTGTAAAGCCAGGAACCCTTTATTTAGGAGAACCAGAAAATACACTTCTGTATGGACTTAACATGACGTCTAGTGACAAGGGCCCATTTAAAGAGTGGCAGAAGGCTGATTACTTTGAAATGTGGTGTTAGAGGAGGATTCTGCAGATCCTGTGGACTGCCCAAAAGACAAACCAGTGGGTTCTAGATCAAATCAAGCCCAAACTCTCCCTAGAAGCTAAAATGACTAAACGGAGGCTGTCGTACTCTGGACACATCATGAGAAGACCAGAGTCACTGGAGAAGACACCAATGCTAGGAAAAGCTGAAGGCAACAGGAGTAGCGGAAGACCCAACAGGAGATGGACTGACTCAGTCCAGGAAGCCCCAAAGGCCCTCACTTTGCAAGACCAGAGCAAGGCTGTTAACAAGAAGATGTTCTTCAGGACATGAATTCATAGGGCCGCCATAAGTCGGAAGTGACTTGACGGCACTTAACACACAAACGCACACGTGTGATGCAGAAACTGTGCTCTCCCAACATGCTTCTAACATCCCAGCTGTAGGGGAACCATGTCCCCATTCTTCTGCCTTTTGTTGCCTCTTTCTCTTGTGCCCCTTCTCCCATTAAGGGCTACACCACAAACCTACAACTGTTTTATTTATTTACTAGGCCAGGTACCATGCAAAGATTAAAAGGAGGTAGTCCCTGTCCATAGGCTCATAATCCAAAAAAGGGACATTACCCCAGGGAAACAGGGCCCAGAAATTGAAATAAAAGGGAACACATTCCTTGGAGAAGGCCTGAACTGAAACAGGAGTCTTTGAACACTCCATGAAGAGCCAGTTTGGTGTACTGGTTAGGAGAGCGGACTCTCATCTGGGATAACCAGGTTTGATTCCCCTCTCCTCCACATGCAGCTGCTGGTGTGACCTTGGGTCAGTTACAAGTTGTTTCAGAGCTGTTCTCTCACGAGCAGTTCTTGAAAGAGCAGTTTCTGTCAGAGTTCTCTCAGCCCCACCTACCTCACAGGGTGTCTGTTGTGGGGAGGGGAAGGGAAAGGAGACCATAAGCCACTCTGAGACCCCTTTCGGTAGTGAAGGGTGGGGTATAAATCCAATCTCTTACATGCCAATAAAGGTAACTGGACTGGACTGGAAATCCATTCTCTTCTTCTCTTCTTCTTGAAAACAATGTTACAAGGCATAAATGAGCAGATGGCATTCAGGGGATGAGGCTGTCAAGGAAAACACATGAAAGCAGGAGATGAGGTGGAAATCTTGGGCTTAAAAAGAAGACTGGCGAACAAAAGTGGAAGTAAAGACAGCAAAGGAAGAGAAGCTGGACTAGAAGGAAAAAGTGAACAGAGATGTTTAAAAATATGGAGGTGAAACTGAATGAAATAGGTTAGGAGAGAGGAAGGGGTGAAAGACTATGATACCCCATGGCTTGGTTACGTGGGTGGGCAAGCCAGAAGGCACTGCAAAATTCACTTACACATTTAGCTAAAAGCAATAGAAGAAGAAGAAGAGATTGGATTTATACCCCGCCCTTCACTTAGAGTCTCAGAGCAGCTTACAAACTCCTTTCCCTTCCCCTCCCCACAACAGACACCCTGTGAGGTGGGTGGGGCTGAGAGAACTCTGACACAAACGGCTCTTTTTCAAGGACAGCTGTGCCAGAGCTTGTGACTGACCCAAGGTCACATCAGCAGGTGCGAGTGGAGGAGTGGGGAATCAAACCCGGTTCTCTCCCAGATTAGAGTCCGCGCACTTAACCACTACACCAATACTGCAATAACCTTTAAAAACAAGACCTCTAATTTACCACAGGTATGGATGTTCATGGCAGGCAGGTTCCTATTGCCAATCTGAAAGTGGTGAATAAATCATGGTATGTTACCTTTCCAACCTTTTCCTCTCCTTTTTGGCCTGATCATGTGCAGAAGCACTGACTTTATGGGGCTGCTGATGTCCTTCAGTGTTCCCTCTAAGTATGAGCTAGCTCACAGATTTTTAGCCTCTGGCTCACAGATTTTTGTCTTCGCTAAGGAGGGCTCCAGAGCAAACTAATTTATGCAATAGCCAAATTGCTCACTCACAACTTTAATGCCAGTAGCTCACAAAGTAGAATTTTTGCTCACAAGACTCCACTGCTTAGAGGGAGCATTGGTCACCAGTTGTTTCATTTTGAGAAACTGCATCACTCAATCAGCTACAAGTTGGGTGTAACATTCAAAAAAATCAAAGTAATTTAAACTGGCATGGATTAAGGAGCGACAAGATGCGAGTGGTGGGCAAAATCCTATCACTCAGCTAAGTTCAGAACCTTCTTCCAGAAGAAAAGCCTCTCTCACCACAAGAAAGCTTGTAGGTGACAAACTGATGCTTTGCCAGGCATGGTTTTATGTGATTCTGAACTGAGTTGGCCACTGTGAGTAGAGAAGGGATTAATCCCTACAAAAGGATGCTGTTCCAGACACGTTTGGCTCTTGAAGAAGGTGAAGAAGTTGGATTTATACCCCACCCTTCACTACCCAAAGGAGTCTCAGAGTGGCTCACAATCTCCTTTCCTTTCCCCTCCCCACAAGAGACACCCTGTGAGGTAGGTGGGGCTGAAAGAGCTCTGAGAGAACTACTCTTGCGAGAACAGCTCCAAGAGAACTTGTGACTGACCCAAGGTCTCACCAGCAGCTGCATGTGGAGGAATAGGGAATCAAACCCAGTTCTCCCAGATTAGAGTCCACACTCTTAACCGCTACACCAACCTGGCTGTCAAGGGGAGGAAAAGTCCCTTTGTGATTGTGGAACAGGTAGGAGCACAGATCTGCAAAACTGAACTCTTCAAGAGGGCTTTTCTGCACAGGTAATAGGGTCATATTGAACAAAATGGTTTTACAAACTTGCTTGGATAGAGGATTGGGGACTGGGGTCTGTACTGCTGTGTATCACTTATTGCAAGTAGGATCCTGTTTATGTTATTTCTGCACCGCTTAATGTGTCATGTGAATACTTATACTATGCTTCAGTTCTTTCTGGTGGTTCCAGTCTTCTACAATCCTTATGGACGGGGTTACTGAATGTCCCATTTTGTTGTTTATATTGACTCACTCTGCATAATCTGCCTTGTGTCTCCGTGAGAAAAGCGAACTGTAACTGTAAAAACAAATTAATCTGGATGGTAACAGCTCATTTAATGCCATGCTGATTTGAGCTTAATCCTGAGTACTGTTTCGAAAATGCAACAGCTTCTTTGATTTTGGCCTTGTGCAGCAGTTAAACCTTAAGAACCGATCAATTGGCAGGTGCCACAATTGTCTTATTGCAGTCTGTCTGTCTGTCCCTCTCTCTCTCTTGCTCTCTCAGAACAGCACGGTAGGCAGAATATATACTTTTTCATGCTTCATACATCAATCAATAGATAACACTCCAGGCGGCTTTCTGCCTCTCATTAGTTAGTGTTTCATACGTGATTGTGCCTTGTTTTGAAGTCCAGAAATACAGAAGTTTGATTCAGCATTGCTGCTAAACAGTGCAGAGTAGGGGTTGTGGTGTTGGAATAGGATCTGGGTGACTCAGGTTCAAATCCCCACCCTGCCTTGGAAGCCTGCTGGGTGACCGTGGGGCAGTCACACACAAAGCCTGACCTACCTCACAGGGTTATTGTGAGGATAACATGGAAGAGAACAGCGTTGCAAACCGCTTTGGGTTCCTATTGAGGAAAAAAGTGGAGCGTAAATATCTAAATACATAAATAAAAGGCTTTCTCGAGAATCTGCAAGTTAGCCAGGCAGAGAGGAAAGCGCATCACTGGAAGTCATCAAATGCCACTGACGTAAGGACACTCTGCTGGGGGGGGGCTCTTCCTGAGGGGTGGAGCAAACCCACCTTTAAAAGGGCAGCTTGCTGTGTGAGGAGAAGTGGAGAAGGCAGAATCCTGTTCAGACAAGGGAGGAGCAGATCTTTGCCAGACGAGTCTGACAGGTAAGGAACCCTGGGGTAGCAGGATGAATGCAAGCCAAGGAAGCCCTTCTGCATCACAAATCATGTCCACCTTGGATTTGTCCCACTGTCTCTGCATAGATGTGTTAGTTCTTTCATGAGGTTCATACATTTACTTTTTTGCAGTGATTACCCCCCCCCTTTGAGGTTTAGATGGCTGGGTTGCTCTTTCCCAGTCTTTCCAATTCCCTCTTGCTTAGTGCCCAGTTCGGTGTAGTGGTTAGGTGCGTGCTCTAATCTGGGAGAACTGGGTTTGATTCCTCACCCCTCCACATGCAGCTGCTGGGTGACCTTGGGTCAGTTACAAGTTTCAGAGCTGTTCTCTCAGCCCCAACTACCTCACAGTGTGTCTGTCGTGTGGAGGGGAAGGAAAAGGAGTTTGTAAGCTGCCCTGAGACTGCGAGTGAAGGGCAGGGTATAAATCCAATCTCCTCCTCCTCCTTCTCTTCTACTTTTTAAAAAAAATGCTTAGTTCTTTTGTATCATTTCTGAATCAAACAGGAATCCAGCGGCACCTTAATGACTAACATTTATTCTTGCTTCAGCTTTACTTAGTCAGAGCTCACTTCATCAGATGCATAGGAGTGTGTGTATCTATCTGGTTCGATTTATACACACAACAGAAGAGGGGGGTAAATTTTGTTAGACATTTAAAGGAATCTGAAGGGAATCTGAGATTTTTTTGTTATTTCTAAATATTGTCACCCCCTTGGAGCTTTAAACAAACAAAATGAGCAAAACCCCTCAGTTTTTGGTTTAAATTTGACACTTAACCCATGAAAGTGCAGGGATCGGAGAAGCCTCGTGGGGTAGGGGAAATCCCATTTCCCCACCTCCACCCCAACACTGGCTCCAGTTTAGTGTAATGATTAGGAGCACAGACTCTAATCTGGGAGAACCGGGTTTGAATCCCCACTCCTCCCAACACCTACTGCCTGGTACTTTTAACTGGAGAGGCCGGGGATTGAACCTGGGACCTTCTGCATGCCAAGTAGATGCTCTGCCAGTGAGCCACAGCCCCCAGGCCAAAGCCCTTGAGATTATTATACTTGGTGGTTGATGAGTCTGGGTATGGAAGGGTATTGGTGTGGCTGGGGGTGGGTTAGGGGATCACTGCAAGAAATTGTACACACTTCCTCATCTCAGTCTCTACCCAGACATGCATCCCAAGGTGTTTGCCTGCTTGCTGCTGGCCACCCTCATAGCCACCGGCCTCTCCAGATCCACGTCTGCATCCCGTCAGGGGGAGGGTAGATCGAATAAGCAGAGGACGGCCGTGCCAGGACCCGAGAGGACACAGAAGAGTGATGGCAGGTGGATTGTCCGACGGGAGTGGCCAGGAGGGCTGTCCAGGGACCAGAAGCATCTGATTTCCCAGTTCCTGCCCCACATTTATGCAGGTAAGAGGCTCTTCCATTCGCACCCTTTCTGTATTCTCCTCTCTCTCGAGCCACTGGATAAAAATCAGTGCAGCCAGAAGGCTCCCGAGGGCTACCTATGGTTCCAGCTCTCCCATCGTAACTGGTCTGCAGACGGCTAGTCCTGTCATCCTACAACTAGTCACCTCCCCCCCACACACACACACACGCCAGTTTATCTAGTGAGCTCAATGCAGAAGGAGAAGCAGGAAGAACAGGGGTTCTTCCATCTGCCTCCCTGGCTGTCACTCCCCCACCCCCACCCCACTGTATTACCTGGCCCCCAGTGCTCCCTCTAAGCTGTGGAGTCTTGTGAGCAAAAAATCTACTTTATGAGCTACTGGCATTAAAGTTGTGAGCGAGCGATTTGGCTACCGCATAAATTATTTTGCTCTGGAGCAATGCTCTCTCTAGGTGTGGAGTCTTGTGAGCAAAAATTCTACTTTGTGAGCCACTGGCATTAAAGTTGTAAGTGAGTGATTTGGCTACTGCACGAATTAGTTTGCTCTGGAGCCGTCCTTCCTGTGAGCCGGAGTCTAAAAAACTGTGAGCCTAACTCACACTAACTCAGCTTAGAGGGAACACTGCTGGCCACCCCCCCCAGGAGAGAGGCAGAACAAAACCCTTTCTGTGGAGAAGCCACCAGGACAAGAGGCGGATAGAGTAAATTTCTAGCCAGCTTCTTTGTAAGCTGTCTCAGATGCAAAAAAAGCCTCGTGCCCTTTGGTGGGATCTCCCATGTCTTGAGGGGGAACTGGCGGAAATCAGTGCAACCTTCTATATATTATTATACAGCTTAGGTAAAGGTAAAGGTTCCCTTGCTCGAAAGCCAGTCGAATCCGACTCTAGGGTTGCGGTGCTCATCTCCGTTTCAAAGCCGAAGAGAGCCAGCGCTGTCCGAAGACGTTTCCGTGGTCATGTGGCCGGCATGACTAAACACCAAGGCGCATGGAACGCTGTTTCCTTCCCACCGAAGTGGTACCTATTTATCTACTTGCAATGTCTTGCTTTCGAGCTCCTAGGTTGGCAGGAGCTGAAACTAGAGACGGGAGCTCACTCAGTCATGCGGTGCACTCGGGTCTCGAACTGTTGAACTACCGACCTTCCACAGCCTGCAGTTCAGCGTCTTAACCACTTGAGCCACTGCAGCTCCCAATATTTTACAGCTTAAGCCACAGCAAAAAAGATGGGTCCCTACCCCAAAGATCTTGCTGGCGGCGGCAAGTGCCAGAGCCTCTTTTTTAAAGAACAAAAGCACCAAATAGATTAAGCACAATGAAGACATTTCCAGAACAGCTCCCCTGAACATAATTCTGCCTCTTTGTAGCTTAAAAACCATTAAACCACCAGCCCAGGGGTCATTTTGTAGAAAAAGAGGTGCAGGAGCTCATTAGCATAACTCATTTGTATAACTCATTTGCATATGCCACACCCCCTGACATCACCGGAAGTGTGTCAGAAGGCAACACCCACCACTCAGGCTCCACTGGACTGTTTTGGATTGCTAGCTATGGGGGGGGGCGTGCAGATCTGTCCTTGCAGAGGAAGGAGAGCTTGTACCTGAATAAAACCTGGTCTTAAAGGTGCCACTGGACTGTTTTGGACCAGGGGGCCAGGGAGAGCTCTGCAACTTACCTGGCTGCTCCTTGCTCTGACTGAGGGATGCTGGGAGCAGGGGATGGGGCTTTTTGCACATGCCCGCCCCCTGGGCTCTTTACTGCCGGAGCTCCGCTCCTGTGCGCTCCTACAGGAAATGACCCCTGCGCCAGCCTGGTTTCTTCTCCACTTACTATATCTAGAAGTGTTGATTCATAGAACGTCAACAAGATTTTGGTAGGGTTGCCAGTCTCCAGGTGATGGCTGGAGATCTCCTGGGATTACAACTATCTCCAGGCAACAGAGATCAGTTCACCTGAAGAAAATGGACATTCTGGAAGGCGGGCTCTGTGGCGTTATTCCCCATCGAAACCCCTCCCCTTCCCAAGCTCCACCCCCCAAAATGTCTATAGATATTTCTCAACCTGGAGTTGGCAACCCTAGACTTTTCAGTGAGCATTAAGACTGCTGAAGACCTGGAACATCTAGCAGAAAGAGAGAGAGAGATTGGGGGGGCGTGTTCCCAGAGTTACAGGCATTTAGCAAGTCGGTGCCCTGCAACTCCCTTCAGTTAACCACAGTGCTTCCCCCCAACAGCCGAGCTTTCTGGGAAGGAGAATTCTGTGCAGATGAACGACGACCTCCAGAGCCACGATTACCCCACCTGGATGGACTGGGGACGCCGAAGCCTAAAGGATGTGAATGAAGATGCCTAACTTAGGGGTCAGCTCCCCAAAGGAGTATTTCCTGCCAAAGCCCCACCGGGTTGGGGGTGGAGGAAGGGACACGAGACAGTCCTTTTACTATCATATTGTCCTTTTCCAGATCTGTGTCTCATGCATGTTTGCACCGATTAAAAGAGTCGATGGTATTCCTCCGTGAGTGGTTTACCAATGGGGGAGGGCAGCGGGGCAGGGCTCTTTGGTTCCGACTCATTCACCAACAGAGAACCACCCAATCAATAGGGTTGCCAGGTCTGGGTTGGAAAATACCTGGAGACTTTGGGGGTGGAGCCAGGGGAGGGCGGGGTTTGGGGAAGGGAGGGGCCTCATCAGGGCACAATGCCATAGAGAGCCAGTTTGGTGTAGTGGTTAAGTGCGCAGACTCTAATCTGCGAGAACCGGGTTTGATTCCCCACTCCTCCACTTGCACCTGGCTGGATGACCTTGGGCAAGTCGTAGTTCTGATAAGAGCTGTCCTTGAAAAAGAGCAGTTTCTGTCAAGAGCTCTCTCACCCCCACCTACCTCACAGAGTGTCTGTTGTGGGGAAGGGAAGGGAGTTTGTAAGCCGCTCTGACACACCTTTCGGTAGTGAAGGGCGGGGTATAAATCCAATCTCTTCTTCTTGTTCTTCTTCTTCTTAGCAGCCCTTTTCTCCAGGGGAACTGATCCATCAGCTGGAGATCAGGTGTAAAAGCGGGAGATCTCCAGGCCCCACCTGGAGGCTGGCAACCCTACCAATCAAGCACAGCAATGGATGGGGTAGTGGGAGGGGGAGGGGGCACCTTGCCTAACAGCTGAGTCCTTCAAATTACTGTTCCGAGGACTCTTCTCGAAGACGGGGCTTCCACGACCACCCTCCATCTGTCCCTTTGAGACAGTGTGCTTTAAAATGCCTTGTCTGCATTATTCGTTCAAGAGACGCCATCTCTTAAAAGTGAAGTGTGCCACATAGACAGTGGTGCAATTCATATGGCGTTATGCTACATGGGATTAATTATATATTGGAAATTACTTGGGGGGAGGACGGCTACCTCACTTGGAGCACTTGGGGGAAGGGGCAGAAGAGAGGATGACTTTACAACATTGCCCCTTTGTAGGTTGGGAGCTCTGGGTTGGGAGATACCTGGAGATTTTGGGGGTGGAGCCCGAGGAGAGCAGAGTTTGAGGCACAATGCCACAGAGTCCAACTTCCAAAGCGGCCATTTTCTCCCGTGGTCTCTGTCGCCTGGAGATCAGTTGTAATAGTGGGAGATTTCTAGTCACCACCTGGAGGTTGGCAACCCTGCTTTTTGGCTTATTAGTGGGGTTTTTAAAAATGTTTTTCACTGAGTTCTCCAAGCTAAATGGCTTTCTGACTGCAGAGTTGGGGAAGTGGCTTTGGTAGGCTATTACTGCTCAGTTCTGGGCTTGGGGTTGCCAGCTTCCAGGTACCACCTGGAGATCTCCCACTAGTGCAGCTCCAGACAACCAAGATCAGTCTCCCTGGAGAAAAAGGCTGCTTTGGACTCTCTGGCGTGAGATCCAGCCGCGGTCTCTCTCCTCCCCAAACCCTGCCCATTCTAGGCTCCACCCCCAAAATAGCTTTATCAAGGCCAACCCAAATGCCACAAAACATTTCACAAACTTTCAAGTGCTACAGAACCCTTCATCAGGCAGCCCTGACCAAAAAAAAAATTAAATGAAGGAGGGGAAAAGCAAAATGTTCAGGTCCAAATCTTAAGAGCTGGCTGAGCATTCAACATGAGAGGTTGATACGGCACTTTTAAGAGATGGCATAAGGCAATAGCTGGATGAGCAGCCTAATAGATAGATTAGATAGTTCACTACCGAAAGGTGTCTCAGAGCGTCTTACAAACTCCTTTCCCTTCCCTTCCCCACAACAGACACCCTGTGAGGTAGGTGAGGCTGAGAGAGCTCTGACAGAAACTGCTCTTTTTCAAGAGCAGCTGTGCCAGAACTATGGCTTGCCCAAGGTCATCCAGCAGGTGCAAGTGGAGGAGTGGGGAATCAAACCCGGTTCTCCCAGATTAGAGTCTGTGCACTTAACCACTACACCAAAATGGCAGATGACACGGTCTAGACCTGAACATTTTGCTCCCTCCACCCTTCATTTTTTAAATTTTGTAACATCTACCTGGTGAAGGGTTCTACAGAACTTGAAAGCTTCTGTCTCCTTCCTTGCTCAGGGATTTGATTCCTAGACTATGCAGAGGCAACTGCAGGAATGGGCAACTCTAGTGAATGTGTGCTAAAAAACATAAAATACACCCCCCTGAATCTCCCAAGGCAAACACAGGGACAAAACAAGAGATATTAGTTTACTGCAGCCACGATGGCTTAGAGGTCAAGAAGCTGAGATGCAGATCAGAAGGTCAGTAGTGCCACATGACGGAGTGAGCTTCCGTCTCTGGCCCCAGCTCCTGCCAACCTCGTGGCTCGAAAGCAAGAAATTGCCAGGAGATAAATAGGTACCACTTCAGTGGGAAAGTAACAGCATCCCGTGCGCCTCGGCGTTTAGTCATGCCGGCCACATGACCATGGAGAAGTCTACAGACAGTGCTGGCTCTTCGGCTTGGAAACGGAGATGAGCACCGCCCCCTAGAATTGGATTCAACTAGCTTTTGAGCAAGGGAAACCTTTACCTTTATCACCCCTCCGGTTGGGAAAAGTTAGGGTTGATAAAGTCTTTTTAAAATAGGATTTCTGCTTCGCTGTTGTTGTAGGGAAGTCAGAACTGGCAAGGAAATCTGCTTTGTATTTAGATTGCCAGATCACCAATGTAGAGCAATAAGAACAGAACATAAGGGAACATAAGAGAAGCCATGTTGGATCAGGCCAGTGGCCCATCCAGTCCAACACACGGTGTCGCACAGTGGCCAAAACCCAGGAGAGGTAAGGAGGTCCACCAGCAGGGCCAGAACTCCAGAACCCCTCCCACTGTTGCCCCCCCCCCAAGCACCAAGAATACAGAGCATCACTGCCCCAGACAGAGTGTTCCATCTATGCATTGTGGCTAAAAGCCACTGATGGAACTCTTGAAGCTGTCTGTGCTTGTAGCCACCACCCCTTCCTGCAGCATGGAATTCCACGCAATTAGGGATTGTTCCAATCTGTTTAGTGCAGTGGTTAAGTGCGTGGGATCTAATCTGGGGAAACTGGGTTTGATTCCCCACTCCTCCACCTGCAGCTGCTGGATGACCTTGGGCAAGCCATTGTTCTGTCAGAGCTGTTCTCTCAAGGACAGCTCTGGAAAGAGCTCTCTCAGCCCCGCCTACCTCACAGGGTCTCTGTTCTGGGGAGGGGGAGGGAAAAGAGTTTGTAAGCCGCTCTGAGACTCTGAGTGAAGGGCGGGGTATAAATCCAATCTCTTCTCTCTTCTTCTTCTTCTGTTCCCTGACACAATGTTCAGGGCATGATTTATCCATTAGGCACAGTAGGCACAATAGGCACAGTAGGCACAGTGCATAGGGTCCACAATACTTTTAGGGACCCACGAAAATGTTTTAAATTTCTTTAATGCTGGCTGTGTTGTTAAAGAAAGTAGAGACTAAATTAGGCAACATACCTTAAACCACAGGACAAAAGGTAGCTTGGAAAACCAAGCCAGAACCTGGAACTACGGTTTGCACCTAGACCATACAAACACTCTGGGCTGGTTTCCAACAGTCCGCTGTGAAGGGAATAGATGGTGTTGCCCACCAACACACAACACGACAGCAGCCCGCTCGGATCTGTCAGCCACAGCAGCCTCTTTCCAAGGGCCCGGGTCTCCGGCTCAGGAGCGCCTTTTAAAAAGGAGGCCTGGCCCGGGAAAACAGCAGACTTTTGATGGCTGTGGGGGAAAACAAAGAAGCTGCAATTCACAGATGTCTGCTGGAGGCAGCCCAAAGGAAGGGAGGGAGGAAGGGAAGGAAAGAGGGAGGAAATCAGGCCTGGAATATCCCAGCTCCTTGAATCCCGGCTGGAGATTTTGCAGACGTGTTATGCGTGTCCAGGGGAGGGGGAATTCTACAGAGCTGTCAAGGCCGAAGCCTGAAGAGGACCTCTTTAGTACGATCTTGCAAAAATACTCTTCTCTCCAACCCCGCAGTGTGTAAATCTGGTTGTTGTTCTTGTTGTTGGGAGCAAATTATTCCTTAAAAAAAAAACGCAAAGGAAACTTTGAATGAAAGAATGCTGAGCAGAAGATCCTGACAAAGATCCTCTTTCCTCCAGGCCCTAGTGCCCAAAGTATTCCCTATGTTGAATCAGCACAAAATTTGACCTAATCTTGTGGCTCTCTCTTCGGGTTGCCAACTCGGGTGGAAAATACCTGGAGATTTGGGGGGGTGGAGGTGGGGAGGTTTGGAGAGGGGAGGGAACTCAGCAGTTTTAATACCATAAAAGCAAAGTTGCCATATTTTGAAATGCGAAAAAAGGACATATTTCCTGACTGACTACTTCAAACAAGTGATCACTATGACTAATCCTATTTTTTAAAACCCTGCTATTTAAGATGTGATCATTGCTACTAACTGGGTATAGTCCTAACCTTTCAACCCCCAAGAGGAAATGTTCATCAGTTTTTTAAAGAGAACAAAAGGGGACGGAAACCAAAAAAAAAAGAAGACATCTGGTAACCCTACATAAACTCTACCTGCCAAAGCCGCCATTTTCTCCAGGAGATCTGATTTGTGTCATCTGAAGATCAACTGTAATACTGGGAGAGCTCCAGCCAGGCCCCACCTGGAAGTTGGCACCTGGCAACCCAACCACCTCTGACCAGAGGGGCTTCCTGAAAGCCTCTTTGCAGGTCTTTAAGGCATCAATGAAACAATCCCCACCCCTTTCATCAGGAGCCCTGCTGTCCAGCTTAGTAGCTTAGCTGCTAATGACCAATTCTCATGAATGGACAATCATTAAACTTCTCTAGAAATACACTTTGTACCTACACTGCAGGGAGAGTTTTTGCCTGGGAAGGGTAAGCATTAAGAGAGGGAAAGCAAAGCAAAAGTCATGGCCCACAAAAAACAAAAGTAAGGCTCCCTAACTAGCAAGTGTCAGAGTCCCGCAGCAATCAGTTCTCAACAACGTTCCTTCAGAAGGTTCAAGTTTATTGAGTACAGTAAAGGCAGGTGCATACATACAGTGTTAGAACTGATTGCAAGCGCAATCAGAAAGATAGAAAGATATACACACTTCATACTGGGGTCCCCTGACAGGTCGGAGCCAATCAGAAATTAGGCTGAAGCCCGCCTAAACTAACTGGTCTATGTTCCCAGCAGAAGCATCAATAGCATGGTACCAAGGTCACAGGCCTGAGCTAGCAGATAAGATGAGGCAAGGGAAAACGAAAGTTAAGATTCCAGCAGAGCAACAGACTATTCATCCACCCTTCCCCCTCCACCTGCAATGGCCATCTAGTCTCGCCTCCTGTCTCACACAGGGGCAAACCAGTTCCTCTGGAGGGCCAACAAGAGGACACACATGCCTTCCCCTGATAAGAACACAAGAAGAGCCCTGCTCAGGATCAGACCAGTGGTTCATCTAGTCCAGCCTCCTGTCTCACACAGTGGCCAGCCAGTTCCCTTGGACAGCCCACAACAGGGCATAGAGGCCGAGGCCTTCCCCTCATGTTGCCTCTCGGCTCTGGGTGCCTCTGAATGCAGAGGTTCCCCTTAGTCACCAGGGCTAGTAGCCATTGATCCTCCATGATCTATTCCTTTTAAAGCTGTTTATTCCTGACGCAGAGCCAGGCACGACAGCTTCTGGCAGCAAATCCCACATTTTAATCACTCTTTGTGTCGAGTAGTATTTCCTTTTGTCAGTCCTGAACCTACTGCCCACCAGCTTCATTGGATGCCCTCAAATTGTAGTATTTTGGGAGAGGGCCAAAAAAATTCCCTTTGTTCACTCTCTCCACCCCATGTATAATTTTATAAACCTCTATCCTTAGTCATCTCTTTTCTAAACTGAAAAGTCCCCAGGCTCTTCAGCCTTTCCTCCTAGGGAAGGTGCTCCGACCCCCTCGTGTCTTGCTTTTGCCGCCCTCTGTACTTTTCCCAGCTCTAGTGCTGCCATGTCCTTTTGCTGTACCTGAAGGAGTGAGCTCGTCCCCTGCCACAAATTTTGTCCCCCTTTAAGGTGCCCCTGGACTCTTGCTCTTTCGTTTTGGGGATAGGGTGACCGGAACTGAACACAGTCTTCCAAGCGAGGCCGCATTCTTACCGTGCCGGCCGTTTTATTCTCCATCCCTTCCTGGAACACCCAGAGAGCCGCGCTAAGACCCTGCGGGCTCCGTCCGGGCCTGCCCCCTGCCTGCCTTCCCCCCACCCTGCGAGCGGCCGAGCGGCTCCGGGGGATCAGCGGCTGCGGCAGAAGGAGCAGGCGGCCGGCCGCAGCAGGGAGCCGGGCGGCATGGAGCGGCGGAGCCGGGGGCTGCTGCTGCTGGCCGGCCTGCTGCTGGCGGCGGCGGCGGCGCCTCC